TTTTTTTTTTTTTTTTTTTTTTTTTTTTTTTGAGATGAAGTCTCCATCTTGTTGCCCAGGCTGGAATGCAATGGCATGATCTCGGCTCACAGCAAACTCCACCTCCTGGGTTCAGGCGATTCTCCTGCCTCAACCTCCCAGGTAGCTGGGATTACAGGCGCATGCCACCATGCCCAGTTAATTTGGTATTTTTAGTAGAGATGAGGTTTCTCCATGTTGGTTGGGCTGGTGTTGAACTCCCAATGTCAGGTGATCCACTCACCTCTGCCTCCCAAAATGCTGGGATTACAGGCATGAGCCATTGTGCTGGCCAGGTTAAAATATCTTTAAGAACCTTGTTTACCAAAGCAAAGAAGTATCTAATAAATGAAAGACATATCAAAAAGATTACACAGCATTAAAAAAAAGACTCTTAGATTCACTATTTTCAGAATCTTTATTGCACAGTATTAGTTTTATATTAATTACAAAATGCTAATGTATGGTATGAACGGCAATAATACAATTCTAGGCTTCCAGTAGCTCAATAAACTGCTATTACTATGTATTTTATTCTTTAATTGCAGCAGCCTCCATGTTCTCATATCTAAAAGATAATTTCAGCTGGGCCCAGTGGCTCATGCCTGTCATCCCAGCACTTTGGGAGGTGAAGGCAGGCGGATAAGGAGTTCTAGGTCAGGAGTTTGAGACTAGCCTGGTCAACATGATGAAACCCCGCTCTACTAAAAATACAAAAATTAGCCAGGTATAGTGGTGTGCACCTGTAATCCCAGCTATTTCAGAGGCTGAGGCATAAGAAGTTGGTTGAACCTGGGAGGTGTAGGTTGCAATGAGCCAACATCATGTCACTGCACTTCAGCCTGGGCGACAGAGTGAAACTCTGTCTCAAAAAATAAAAATAAAAACTAATTCCTATTGTATCTATCCCACAAGTTTATTCTTAGAGTAATAAAATAATGTGGTCAGTTAAACAAAATATGACTCATCCATAAAATAAAAAATTATAATCTATTAAAAAGTATTATGAGCTGAGCGCAGTGGCACAAATCTGTAATCCCAGCTATTCAGGAGGCCGAGGCAGGGGGATCACTTCAGCTCAGGAGTTCAAGACCAGCTTGATCAACATAGCAAGACCTCATTTCAAAAAAAAAGGCCAAAAAAGAATTATGGTATGTTATCAATATGAAAAATATCCTTATATGTATTGTTTAGTATTAGGTACAAATAGCATATACAGTATGATCTCAAGGACAGAATATTATTCAGGAGGTAAGAAATGTGCCTGTTTATGACCATAGCAAAAATGACAGATTATGACCAAAGAAAGGAACCTTAAACTAACATTTTGAATCATAACTGATAACACCAAAAAGATTCATTCAAAACATGTATCAAGAAAATTTAGAGAGCCGGGCGTGGTGGCTCACGCCTGTAATCCCAGCACTTTGGGAGGCTGAGGCAGGTGGATCACGAGGTCAAGAGATCGAGACCATCCTGGTCAACATGGTGAAACCCCGTCTCTACTAAAAATACAAAAAATTAGCTGGGCATGGTGGCGCGTGCCTGTAGTCCCGGCTGAGGCAGAAGAATTGCCTGAACCCAGGAGGCGGAGGTTGCGGTGAGCCAAGATTGTGCCATTGCACTCCAGCCTGGGTAACAAGAGCGAAACTCCGTCTCAAAAAAAAAAAAAAAAAAAAAGAAAATTTAGAGGAGATACTGTTTCTCAGTTGTAAATAATGCCAGAAAAACTCATAAGGCTACAAGAGACAGAGGTCCAAAGCTACATTTGCTAAAAAGAAATTTGTGTCACTGGGCTGGGGTGGCTCACACCTGTAATCCCAGCACTTTGGGAGGCTGAGGTGGGTGAATCACGAGGTCAGGAGTTCAAGACCAGCCTGGGCAAGATGGCGAAACCACGTCTCTACTAAAAATACAAAAATTAGCCGGGTGCACTGACGGGCGCCTATAATCCCAGCTTCTTGGAAGGCTGAGGCAGAAGAATCGCTTGAACTGGGAAGGCGGAGGTTGCAGTGAGCTGAGATCCTGCCACCGCACTCTAGCCTGGGCAACAGAGCAAGACCCTGTCTCAAAAAAAAAAAAAAAAAAAAAAGGCAGGGCGCAGTGGCTCACACCTGTAATCCCAGCACTTTGGAAGGCTGAGGCAGGTGGATCACCTGAGGTCAGGAGTTTGAGACCAGCCTAACCAACATAGAGAAACCCCATCTCTACTAAAAATACAAAAAATTAGCCAGGCGTGGTGGTGCATGCCTATAATCCCAGCTACTCAGGAGGCTGAGACAGGAGAATCGCTTGAACCTGGGAGGTGGAGGTTGCAGTGAGCCGAGATCGTACCATTGCACTCCAGCCTGGGCAACAAGAACAAAACTCGGAAGGAAGGAAAGAAGGAAGGGAGGAAGAGAGGGAGGGAGGAGGGAGGGAGGGAGGGAGGGAGGAGGAAGGGAGGGACGGAGGGAAGAAAGGAACGAAGGAAGAAAGTAAAGAAGGAAAGAAGGAAATAAATTTGTGTCATTGTCAACACAGAAAGAAGCTTACTCTCAACAAACACACATCCTAAATCCTGTAGTATAATAACTGCCACTCAAAGTGTGGTCCTGGGCCCTGAGCATCATCGGCATTACCTGGGACCCAGTTAGAAACGCAGAATCTTCTCTATCATGTGAATCATGCTTTTTTTTAAAAAAAGAATAATATAAACAAACAAAAAAGAAATGCCAAAAAAATTGCAAACTCTGAGGACCTCCCTGCTTCCCCAGCAACCACTACACCAGACTCTACCTCTACACATTATTTTATTTTATTACGTATTTTATTTTTGGGACAGAGTTTCACTCTGTTGCCCAGACTGCAGTGCAGGAGCATGATCTCAGCTCATTATGACCTCTGCCTCCCAGATTCAAGCGATTCTTGTGCCTCAGCTTCTGAATAGCTGGGATTACAGGTGCCAGCCACCATGCCTGACTAATTTTTGTATTTTTAGTAGACACGGCGTTTCACCATGTTAGCCAGGCTGGTCTTCAACTCCTGTTCTACAGTGATCCACCCACCTCGGCCTCCCAAAGTGCTGGGATTATAGGTATAAGCCACCTTGCCTGGCCTACATATTTTTTTTTTTTTTAAGAGACAAGATATCTGTCACCAGGCTGGAGTACAGCAACACAATCATAGCTCACTGCAACCTTAAACTTCTGGACTCAACTGATCCTTCTGCCCCAGCTTCCCAAAGTGCTGGGACTATAGGCATAAGTCACCACATTCACGCTTACTCTACATTTTAACAAAACCTTCAGGTGGTATGCACATTAAAATTTAAGAAGCGGGGCTACAAAGCCCAAAGAGAATTAAGAGGGAGGAATATGCACAGGTGCAACACAACAGTGGACTTTTTCCGACTGATGCAACAGAGCTATCTTCTGGTTTGGATGACAATCACATGGATAAGAAGCTGCAATGATCTTTCCTCCATTTTCTAGAAAGTATCTTTCTTACTAATTAGAAGAAAGCCGGAGTATTTCTAGGAAGTATCTAGGTAAAGGTTTAAACATATAAAAGTAGCAAAATAGTCAGGGGCAGTGGCATGCATCTATAGTCCCAGGTACTTGGGAGGCTGAGGCAGGATGATCTCTTGAGCCCAGGAGTCTGGGGCTGCAGTGTGCCATGACTGCACCTGTGACTAGCCACTGCACTCTAGCCTGGGTAACAGAGTGAGACCCTATCTCTAAGTAAATAAATAAATAAAATTTATAAAGTAGCAAAATACTATTTTTACCATTCATAAATTTTTTATCAAACAAGTTATATATCAAAAGAGGTTCCACTGGAAGCATCCATCATCCGAAGAATGCAGTTCTCCTTGAGTGGCAATTCTCAAGAACTAAGTACCCTGATCTTGTATCTCCAACAAAGTGAAAAAATAAAACAGAAATATAGAGAACAGAAAGTATTAAAATATATATGAGAAAATATATCATTAAGATGCCCTTTTGCAAAAATGTTTTAAACTCGGTCTACAGAAATAGATTATACCTGGCTTCATATGTCTCTAGCAAAAATAACATTATTTTAGTTAAAAATAAGATCAAGACAGTATTATTATTCAACTATAGAATAAAGACAAGCATCTAATTTTTTCCGGCTTTAAAGAACCTGAAGGACAATGTCTGTTCATTCATGACAATACATGACTTGAATTATAATGGGTGTTTTAACAGAAAAGCTCTTCTCCTATCCATATTTTCTTCATTATTATATGCCATATGTTAGTTGCTATTCTGGGTGTGTTCCCCATTTATCTCATTTAGTCTTTTTGTTTTACCTTTTTTTTTTTTTTTTGAGACAAGAGTCTCACTGTGTTGCCCAGGCTTGAGTGCAGTGGTGCAATCACTGCAGCCTCAACCTCTAGCCTCAAGTGATCCTCTCACCTCAGCCTCCCAAGTACCTGGGACTACAGGTGCATGCCACCATGCCTGGCTAATTTTCTGTTCTTTTTTTTTTTTTTTTTTGCATTTTAGGTTTTGGGGTACATGTGAAGAACATGCAAGATTGTTGCATAGACCTGGCTAATTTTCTAATCTTATTTTTGTAGAACTGGGGTCTCACTATGTTGCCTAGGCTGGTTTTGAACTCCTGGGCTCTGGCAAACCTCCCACCTTGGCCTCCCAAATGCTAAGAATACAGGTGTGAGTCACCATACCCAGCCCTTATTTATCCTTGAAGGGGAGCATTTTATAACCAAGAAATTAAAACACTGGTAGTTGGTAGGGCCAAGCTAACAGCTGGTGAGATATGTCAATGCCTAAGCTCATAGTCTTAACCACTAGGCTCACTCAGTCCATAAGCATCCTCTGAAGGACCCTGCGTTTTGAAGTCCCAGGTTATTTATTTGTCACTGACTCCATAGACCATCTTCCTTTAAATCCCACAGGACACAATATTCTGTATGGCCCTGCATGTTAACTTGTATTCCAAAAACAACAAAAAACTCTACAATACAATACTTTACGTACATTTAAAAACCAGTCATGAGCAAGACATATACTTATTTTTTGTGTAAGTACTTGCTTAGCTCCAGAAGCAGGAAGAATGACATTGAAGCACCAAATAGAACTACTGTACTTGAAGAAAGATGAACTACTTGAAGAAAGATGATCAGAATTTGGGAGCACTCTTCTAGTTAACACTGTAGGTTCCCAATTACAATGTGCATGGAAATTATCAAACAGACTTGCAACCAGAGGGCCTCTGAATTCATTACAAGTCCTCTGTCTCTATTGCTGTGATGCTTAAGTATCTATCTGTATTTACTGGGACTGTGTTTATGTACACAACTGTATACATCTGTTTGAAAAGAGTCACTGTTTCAGTTGTTGCAAAGCTGTCCCCATTGATCTGCTAACAGAGCTGAAGCTGCCATGGGTAATATCCTTGTTTTTTTTTTTTTTTTTTTTTTTCCCTAACATGCTAAGTTTCTGCGTATTTCATACTTTAATATATTCTCCAAAATACCACTGTTGCCTTATGGAAGTTAATATTGTCCAGTGCAAAGAGTAAGGGCCCTGAGGAAGCCAATCTGCAGGCCTCCTCTATGGGAACACAAGGAAGTTATGGAGGCTCCTGCGGAGTGACGAGAGAAAGGGGGGCACATGAGGCTGCACGTGGTGGCATACGCCTGTAATCCCAGCTACCTGGGAGGCTGAGGCAGGAGAATCACTTAAACCCAGGAAGTGGAGGTTGCAGTGAGCTGAGATTGTGCCACTGCACTCCAACCTGGCAAGACAGCAAGATTTCGTCAAGAAAGAAAGGAAAGAAAGGAAAGAAAAGAAAGAAAGAAAAAGAAAGAGAGAGAGAGAGAGAGAGAGAGAGAGAGAGAGAGAGAGAAAGAAAGGAAGGAAGGAAGGAAGGAAGGAAGGAAGGAAGGAAGGAAGGAAGGAAGAAGGAAGGGGCGGCTGGGCGCGGTGGCTCACCCCTGTAATCCCAGCATTTTGAGAGGCCAAGGCGGGCGGATCACAAGGTCAACAGATAGAGACCATCCTGGCCAACATGGTGAAACCCCATCTCTACTAAAAATACAAAAATTAGCTGGGCGTGGTGGTGCACACCTGTAGTCACAGCTACTTGGGAGGCTGAGGCAGGAGAATTGCTTTAACCCAGGAGGTGGAGGTTGCAGTGAGCCAAGATCATGCCACTGCACTCTAGCCTGCAGCCTGGCGCCAAAGTGAGACTGTGTCTCAAAAAAAAAAAAGAACAACAACAAAAGAAAGAAAGAAGAAAGAGAGAGAGAGAGAAAGGAAGGAAGGAAGGAAAGAAAGAAAGAGAGAGAGAGAGAAAGAAAGAAGCAAAGAAAGAAGAAAAAGAAAGAAAGAAAGAAAGAGAGAGAAAGGAAGGAAAGAAAGAAAGGAAGAAATCAAGGGGCACATCAGGAGCCCAGGTCAGAGAGGAATCTGCCTATGCATCACTCGTACATGTGCTCACTACCTCTGGGGTGCATCAAGACAGCTACTAATATTGGCTGCTGCTGGGAAGTTGAAAGTCGGGGAGGCAGATGAGGGGCCTTATGTTAGGAAGGAGATATTCTCCTGTATTCTCTCTTGACCTTTAGAATTTGAACTAATTTTAAGCAGAATAAATTCTATTAAAAAAAGAAAAAAGATATAAACAAAAAAAAGAATTTGAACCAATCCTAAATTTTCTTTTTTCTTTGTTTTTGTTTTTTGTTTTTTGTTTTAAGAGACAGGGTCTCGTTCTGTCACCCAGGCTGGAGTGCACTGGTACAATCATAGCTCACTGCAGCCTCAAACTGCTGGGCTCAACCAGTCCTTCTGCCTAAGCCTCCAGAGTAGCAGGGACTACAGGCACAGGTCACCATGCTCGGCTAATTTTTGTATATTTAATAAAGACGGGGTTTCACCGTGTTGGCCAGGCTGGTCTAGAATTCCTGACCTCATGTGATCCATCCACCTTGGCCTCCCAAAGTGCTGGGATTACAGGCATGAGCCACCATGCCTGGCCTCCCTTATGCTTTTTTATATCTTCTAAATTTCCAAAAATTCCTCTAACATTTTAATTTTTAAAAATTTTAAGCGTTTTGTAATGTTTTAAATAAATATTATAATAGCTTTATTATGCTAATCAATAATTAGATTATACTAAATTTTTTTTTTTTTTAGTCAGAGTCTTGCTCTATCGCCCAGGCTGGAGAACAATGGCATGATCTCTGCTCACCACAACCTCCACCTCCTGGGTTCAAGCAATTCTCCAAAGTAGCTGGGATTACAGGTGCATGCCACCACGCCCGGCTAATTTTTTTGTACTTTTAGTGAGCCGAGATCATGCCACATTGGTCAAGCTGGTCTTGAACTCCTGACTTCATGATCCGCCTGTCTCAGCCTCCCAAAATGCTAGGATTACAGGTGTGAGCCACTGTGCCTGGCCAGATTATATTAAATCTCAAAACTTCTATAACATTTCCACTGTTTTTTCTTTAATTTTTTTAAATGTATATATAATAAAATACATCATATATAAATATGTATTTATGTGTATATAAAATTTCATGAGTTCAAGCAATCCTCCCACCTTAGTCTCCCAAAGTGCGGGGATTACAGGTGTGAGCCATGGTGTCTGGCCTGATTTTCAAGGTACTGCCAGTCAATAAAACTTACTTAAAGGACATAGAATAGGTTTACTGACACCTGAAAACGTACCAAATAAACAGAATAGTGCTCATGTTCACTACTTAACCACAGAATAACTGAGTTAAACAAAAATTCAAAGTCATTAATATTTTTAGAATGATGATCAAAGCAACATATTTTCGATTAATTCCATCTAACTAGCTATTTTCAGATCTCTCAGGAATTTGTTATTTTCTATGCAAAACTCACTAAGCTCTCTACAAAAATCAAAGGTCCTGACCCCACATTACTTATCTAAGTCCCAATATTAAAAATATTAATAATATTACAACTGTTGGGAAGTGTTTTCTTCTTATCTGAAATGCAAAATGGGCTGGGCACGGTGGCTCATGCCTGCAATCCCAGCACTTTGGGAGGCCAAGGCAGGTGGATCACCTGAGGACAGGAGTTCGAGACCAGCCTGGCCAACACATAGTGAAACCCTGTCTCTGTGAAAAATACAAAAATTAGCTGGATGTAGTGGCACATGTATGTAGTTCCAGATACTTGAGAAGCCGAGGCAGGAGAATCCCTTGAACCCGGGAGGTAGAGCTTGCAGCAAGCCAAGATGGCGCCACTGCACTCCAGCCTGGGTGACAGAGCAAGACGTTGTCTCTCAAAAAAATAAAATAAAATAAAATAAACGCAAAATGTATGCCAGGTGCAGTTTATAATACCATCACTTTGAGAGGCTAAGGCAGGTGGATGACCAGCTAGAACAACATGATGAAACCCAACCCCTACAAAAATATAAAAATTAGCCAGGTGTGGTGGCACACGCCTATAGCCCCAGATACTCAAGAGGCTGAGGTGCTTGAATCAACTGAGCCCCGGGAGGTCCAAACTGCAGTAAGCCATGATTGTGCGCCACTGCCCTCCAGCCTTGGACAACAAAGTGAGACCCTGTCTCAATAAAAAAATAAAAATTTAAAAAATAAAAAGAAAAACGCAAAGTGTAACTGCAATTACAATTCCTAGAGTCTCACCTGAACTACTTCAATTCATCAAAAATAACTACCTATTCTTATTTATTTTCCGTTAGTGAATTTTTCCTGATGTGTGTCCTCAACTCAAGATCTTATTTGATCACAGAGCCCTAGAAGGCTTGTGGGGCATAAGATCTTGTCACAACTACTCAATTTTGTTTTGTGGCATGAAGGAAGACAATATGTAAACAAATAAGCTGCTGGGTGTGGTGGCTCACGCCTGTAATCCCAGCACCCTGGGAGGCCATGGTGGGTGGACCACTTGAAATCAGAAGTTCGAGACCACCCTGACCAACGTGGTGAAACCCAATCTCTACTAAAAATACAAAAAAGGGGCCGGGCATGGTGGCTCACAGCTATAATCCCAGCACTTTGGGCAGCCAAGGTGGGCGGATCATTTGAGGTCAGGAGTTCGAGACCAGCCTGGCCAAAATGGTAAGATTCCCGTCTCTGTTAAAAATACAAAAAAAAAAAAAAAAAAAAAAAAATTAGGCCAGGCCTAATTTTAGCTCACGCCTGTAATCCAAGCACTTTGGAGGCCAAGGCGGGAGGATCACTTGAGGTCAGGAGTTCAAGACCAGCCTGACCAACATGGTGAGACCCCATCTTTAAAAAAATAAAAATTAAATAAATAAATAAACAAATAGGCAGGCATGGTGGAGTGTGGCTGTAGTCCCAGCTACTTGGGAGGCTGAGGCAGGAGAATGGTTTGAACCCAGGAGGCAGAGGTTGCAGTGAGCCTGAATGGAGCCACTGCACTCTAGCCTGGGTGACAGAGCTAGACTTTCTCTC